ATATATATATATATATATATATATATATATATATGGATATATATGGATATATATGGATATATATATGGATATACATACATATATATACATATATATATACATACATACAGAAATTGCTCTTCATTCACTACAAACTAGACATACGAAAGAGAAATGCAGATGTTGAAAGTATACAGCAACACAAGTACACAATTTTAATATTAAAATTATTCATTTTTATAGTTTGTCTAATTTCCCCCTGATGATACATGGGACTAAACATATTCTATTAGAAAATAGGAAGAATTTAAACTAAATGAATTAAAAAAACAACATCCTCTACCCACGATACATAATTTCATGTTATTACATTAAAGATAGCTGATTACTAGCAACATTGTGAAATTTTGAAATTTCCTTAAAAACTTCTTACCTCCACTAAATTGTTTTTTTTTATTGTTCTTTCAAATCATGGAGTTTGCATGCAACTGTTTTCAGTACAAAATATTAATGTAGGACAAACTGAGTTTTCAAATCTATATTATATTCTGCCCAAGTTTCCAAAATAGTCAATTAGGTGGTAAAGCATTTTGAAATACTATTCTGCCATGAAAAATCGGGCAACTTTTCCATTTATTAAAATGTGATCAGAGCAGGAATATAAGTGCCCAAAATGCGAGGCATAAGTCCAATTTCTTATACTTAAATGTTAGCAATTTAATTCAAGATATAATACATGGTAATTTGCTGCATATTGATGAAAGGTGCAAATTAAGGCAAAATGCAGAGGTTCTTTGATTTTGAAATCACCATATATGTTTGTCAATGAGATTTAATATGTGAGAAAACTGCCAGTTAACTTTTGCTCTCAAACGAGTTTGCTTTCAGTACTATGTTACTATGAATAAATTCAGTAATCAAAGAAATAACTTTCATCACAATTCTTAACCCTAGAGATTTAATTAAATGTTTTTAAATAAAGAGCATTACAATCCAAACTCAACATTTAATTTTGTTTTGATATTTAACGTGTAAAAAAATTACCTTAAGCCATGCTACATTAAAACTTATTACACAAGTTTGCAGAGATTGTAATGGAAGCACCTATTACTCCATGAGGACTGAGATTTAATATTAAAGTGTATTTACATATTTGTAATACAAATGCAATATTCCAATAATGTTAATTAACCACCATATTTCCGACACTAATATAACATTCATTTTTGGCTATTTTGAAATCTACTAAGTGTTTTTTCAATTAAGGTTTCAAAGCTCAAGTAAATGATCCCAGTTCAGCCAAAATAAAGTAAAATAAAGCTACCTTTCTTCCAGCTTCATTTGTCTTATTTATGAATTTAGATAAGATTCATAATTAATAAAGCCGCATAGCAAGAAAGATGTACCTAATAGACCAAACATGGAAGGAAATAGTGTCTTTTTTGTTATTGGATTCTAAATGTTCACAAGAAATATGATAAAAAAATTTAAACTTTCGCATCAAAAGCCATAAATGAATCCAAACTAATAAAATTAGGATTCCTAAGAATGGCTATAGCATGTTAACATACCTATGTTCTCATTTTTATCGTTTGTTATCTGTTTCACCTATGACTACACATAAACATAATTTTTACGATGCATTTATATTGCAAAGGAAAGGAGGCAGAAACATGAAGGATGTCCATGCCTCACAAAGTCATTTAGGCTATGAGCGCCTATTCCATTAAAATTACCTGAAATTTTATTAATTTCAGTAATCTCTTAACTGCATTTGACATTATGATGTTGGTATTTTTAAGATACTACAGGTCTCAACATCTGCAGATAAAAACATTTCTTCAGCAACCATTTAAAATTACAATGGCACTGAATGCAAGAGCACATGACCCATGCCTGAAGTTATATAACCGTTGAAGTGCCCCCATGGTCATAAGGTCAAAGTTTGGGTCTTTTGCAGTCCAGCCACACTTACGACTGCAGGGGCGCTGCAACTACCAGCAAGCACTTCTCTCTTCTCCCTTTAGGCCCACTGCCGCCCTGTTTCGCTGCCTTGGCTGATCTTCACCACCATCTTCTTGCTCCTACTGCTCAGGAGGCATGCCTGGCCTCACTGCTGGGCCATATGGGGCTAATTTTGTGCTGCAAAAAAGAAAGGGAAGCAGAAAGCACCTTTGTCTAGAGCTCAAAGCCAGCCCCAATCCTGCCCACAGCTCTATGAAACTGAGCTGTAAGACAAAAAGGTGTCGTTTGTTTTCTTTTTCTCAGTGCAAAGCAAACCCCAAGTGCTCCTAAATGGGGCTGGAGCTGACTTTGTGCTGGGAAAAAATGCTTTCACCTTTTTTTTTCTTTTTTCCCTGTGCAATACCATCTCCCAAATAGCTTCTGGGATGAGAATTCAGAAGCGTCTCTGCTCTGGGGTTGAAAACCCTGCCTGGATTTTGACACAGACGATTTTCAGCTCCACTACAGAACATTTTGGAGGAGGGATTCCAAAAGATCGCGAGACTAGCGCTAGCTTGGAAAACAGCACGAGGAAGCCTCTGTAAGAAGGCTGCATCTCACATAAGGTGGGCACACCTGTCAGCATCTGGAGGAAAAATGGCAAAGGTAAGTGGGGCACTTTGCATGCACTGGTGGGCTATATGGGCAATAAGGCTTCCCAAATCTCACGGCTTTGCCTGGGCTTGTGGGCCAGGTGAGTAGTGAGGTTTTCATGGATGGCTGCCACTCAGTGTCACTGCTGCACCCCCCCAAACTCATGGTTTGCCTGGGCCTCGCAGGGTTTCCTCACAGGGTTTCCAAGGCAACCTGCATTCCTTACCTGGGAGTGATTAACAACTGCAACTGGGAATGCTAGCATCTCAGTCATTGAGCAAAGCTGTCATGCTTAATGACAGCTGCATTCAATGACCAAAATTCCAATTGTGGTTGTAAGTCAAGGGTTACCTGTATGGGGAATGCCAGAAGCTTCTATGCCTACAAGTGCAGACCTCTGACTGTTGATAAATGTTTGATTGATAGTTGTGGATGCAGAGCTAAGAAGCAATTTTGTATCTTTCTTCTACTTTCTGCTTTAGGCAAACTGCTTGTATAACTTGTCTTTAGAGTTACGACTAGAACAGGGAATAAAAAAATCATCATTAAGTGATACACTCATTAAGAGATGTATCATGTGACTGCACCTGATTTTACAACCTTTGTTGCTGTGGTTGTTAAAGCAAGACAACACGTGACTGTGACTTGTGACCTTTCCTGCTGGTTTCCCCAATGACTTTCCTTATCAGAAGTCAGCTGGAAGGGATCACATGACTTTGGGATGCCATGAATGTTGAAAGTGTGACACAGTTGCCAAGCACCCTGGATTGCAATCATATGACTAAGGGAACAATTGTTAAGTGCAGGGACCAGTCATAAGTCACTTTTTTCAATTGCAATTTTAAATGAATGGTCATGTCAAAGACTACCTGTACTGTAATTAAAAACTGTAAAGGATTTGGATGTAAATGCATTTCACTTGTGCATTGAAGAAAAGAACTGTTAAAATGCAATTTGATTTGATTAATTTGAAGCTAAAATTTGGGGATTGTATATCAAAAACAAGCAAACAAAGGAAAAATATTATGAGTATTAAAGTGCAGCATCAGTTACTTTTGGTTATTCAAAAAATATTTTTCTAAAAATTTCAAAATATATTTGCAAGCTTTCCTGCTCATTCTCTTCCACTTTCTACATCTAAATATTTGATTATTCCAGACAGCAAAATACAATATAGCTCAAAATGGACATGGAAAAATGCCAATAAATATATACTGTACTTTTAAAAAGCTACCGATTTCGCTGATTTTTTGCAATCATACAAAATGTCAACAAAGATAGCATAGATTAAATATCAAAGCTTCGAGAAGCTTCAGAATTCACTATAAGATAAATGTCTCATCAACTATTTCTTGAATCAATTATACCAAACTGAGAGACTATCAAAATTTTACACAAAATCTGTACAGAGATCACAGAAAACTGCAAAATCTCCTTTAAGACAAACCAAAGTAGAAGGTTCACACAAATATTCAATATTTTTTTTAAAAAAAAAATACTATGCTATGCCTTCTCAAAAGAATTATTTAGGAATATTAGTTTATAATTTTTAAAAATGTTAAAATAGGTATATGGATAAAATTGAATTAAAAGGGATATGTTATTCTCCACTGTTATGAGATACCGCTTGATGGTATCAAATTATTATTATGTATCTGGTTGTCATTGAAATGATAAATATAGACAAAATGGTAAAATATTGTTTTTGAATTGATACTGAATGTAAAAAAGCAAAGGGAAACCAATGGCTAAACTGGCTAAATAAAATGACTAAAACTCCCAGTATCACTAAACCTCTTTTTTCAAGAAACTCAAATATTTGGTAGCTGGTATTTAGCAAAGAGTGCAAATTTTTTTTATCTGTAATGGCAATGTTTTATATAGAAAGAACCCTATGACATACGTTGTTTTAAATATTTTTAAAATATTTTCTTCTTACAGTGTTTCATTTGAAATCATAAAGGAAAACTGAGGAAAAAAGATAATGCATGGCAGGCATGGTAAACTCTAAAAACACCCATTTCCTACCAAACAAGTAAAACAACGCTAGTAGACTTTTCTCTCTATTTTGTGAATTCAAATTTATTTAAGAAATGTTTTGCAATTTTGTCTAGAATGCCATGAAAATCACTTATTCCTATATTATTTCATGAATTTTTCACCCCAGTACTTAGAATAAATTTCATAACATGTGGCTATTCAGTGGCAGGTGAATAAAACCTGAATACCCATATAAAACTCATTGTTGCCTACAAATTTTTCCTATTGTCTACCGTAGATCATACCAGTTTGTAAAGGAACTGGTAACAAAAGAGTTTTCACATCTGCTATACTGGCTTCATTTTCCATTACTTATTTGGATATATAATACTAAGAATTACATCAAATGAAGAATATATTTCTCTGCCACAGTGGAATTACCAAGAAACAGTTACAAAAGATGGTGGGCCTATTTGTGCTTATAATCTATACCTTTTCTCTTAATTTACTTTCTCTTCATTTTCCTAAATTTGTTTTTGAATTGGGATAATGTCATTTCTAACAAAATTCAGAAATGTTATATAATTTCACATAATTTTGTAGTTAAATATAAAGTGATTATAAGACTTCCAAGCAACTAACAAGCAAGTCAAATACTGCAATTTTCCTGCTGTATAGATACTTTTATAGCATGGTATTCAAACATAGTATGTTACACTACTGAAGGCTTATATGTGCAGGCCATAAACAATTAATAGTATTTCTGCTACTGAAGATTTTTAGTGACATAAATATATACAATATCATTTGACATATTCCTACAGCCTTTGCTAGATTGTATTATATTGTTCATTCATGAAATCTTCACAAACTATAGCCAAAGAATGTAATGAATATCTTAACACATAGATTATTATAAGCTGCATTTGTATGATAGTAAGTAAAGTTATTAGAAATCTGGCACCAAATGCAAGTTATAAGAATTTGCAGCACAGTCTTTAGAAAAGCATGAGATAAGATTGATATTATGATTACTTGGTTCTAATTTATATAAATTTTCTCAGATTTTTACAGTCCACTTTCATAGAATTTGAAACAGCATCTTTATTTTCTTACTAATTGGAAACAATCAAACCTGCATTTTAGGAAAGACGTTCTAGCCTACCTTGGTTGTCCTGGAAAGCTAAGCAGGATCTTGTTAGGATCAGAACTGCAAATTACCAAGGAATACGAAGTCTAAGCTAGCCTGAGAAGTAGAAAAAATATTCTGTATTGCTACCATGAAAACTGTGGATATGTCCATGAAATCGCCAGGAGGTGGGCTCAATCTGAATAAGCTTTTACTTTACCTTTTGAAATATACTAGAAACAGCAATGTTCATCTCTTATATGCTTTTTAAATAACTTAAACTGAGTGATCACCATTAATAAATCCAACTATGTATTATTTTGACATACCACAACTTAATGTAGATTACAACTCTAATTTCCACAGAGTTGTAATTCCCATATCATCATTCGACGTTTGCTATGTGGTTTATCAACTATTTCTACAACTTCACAGGCATGTGTCAGAATTACATTTCATTATTCTGTATGATATTATTATAATTCTAAATTAAACTTTTATGAAGGTCACAAATTCTTTAGGAAATATAAAGAAAGATGACAAGTAATTCCATTATTATTATTATTATTATTATTTGCAGTTCAGAAATCCAAAAAACTACTTCTCCTTTGATGAGCTAGTACAAACTGATTCACTGAATAAAGAAAATTAGACACTGAGTTCTCATCTCTCTCCATCTCCATTTAAAATAGAGAAAACGTGGACCAAAATTATTGCATCTTGCATCTTTTAATCTGTCCTTTATTAATTATAATACTAGTTTTTTTATTAAATAGCTATAAGCTAAAAGTATGTTTAGAAAAACAAGGACAAACTGCACTACATTTATTACAAAGAGCATACTGTGAAAATGCATCAGCTCATCAGCACAATAATCTCACAAGAGTGTAATCAGATGTCAGGAAGGAAAAATGCTAACTTAGAAACCATGGGATGCTTGCACAAATCTATCTTATCTCTCCTATCCGCGGCTCTCATGATTGAAAGAAGACCTAATGTCAATGTTTATGAATGACAAAAACAGCTACCAACATTTGATAATATGCAGTGCATTTCAGGTGCTTGTTTTTTTCACTGATTGGATATTGATATTGGATATATTCTGGTCCATTTCTTATATTTTCTGTTTCAACAGTATTATTACTTAGCAATGTTTAGAGGCAATATCAATACCCCTTTTCTAGACTAAAACAGAATGTTCAATTTTTTTAATTTAGTGAAGTGATTTTCAATTAAAACTTGTTCTTTCCTCCTAAGAGTTACCTTGCAAAGCTATGGCTTGCTCAGGCTATTTTCCGAATCACAAGCACCATATGTGGTTGAAAAGAAATAAACAATGTACTGCAAATTGCCTCAACAAGGAAAAGAGCAGTACAAAGGGAAGTGTAGAACTAGAGACCTTCGTCTTTTCATCATGCTCAGCCCTTAGGTAGTTCAAGGAGATACTTGCAGGGAAGCAGTCATCAGATGATTTTTTTGTAGAATACCTCATATGTCTCACTGTTCACTTTGATGGCAGGTGGTTTCATATGTAGTTTTTAGTTTCTTTGTGATTTTAAGAGTCTTTAAAGATGCATCATTCGGAATCGGATAAGTCACTTTAAACAAAGCAAAGCAAGAATATGACTATTTATAAGACAGTACTTTGTTACATTGCACTTCCAGTGATGTCACCTACTATTTTATAGTATCTTTTCATTTATTGAAGGAATTTTAAACTAACAATGAAGTGCAACCAATTGCACCAAGAAAAAGATAATAAAAAAGAACAATTTCTCATAATTGCATAAAATCAAACATTCACTTCTATTGAGGAACAGTATTAAAATTTAAAATAATTGTTGATCCATATCTGACACTAGCTATTGGTATGAGAATTGTAGATTTTTCTATGAAACAGACTGAAAAATAATACGTACATCAGAAGATAACCACTGGCACATGCAGATTAGATTATTCTAAAATAAAGGTAATAACCCAAACATTATCTTTCATTATGTCTAAAAGCCAATTCAAACATTTAGCTTCCTTCTCTCCTTGATGCTGCATTATAAAGAGGAACTCTAAAAAAGGGGTTGCTTTTTAATAAATACAATTATATCTATATTTGCTATACAGGTAGTCCTCAACTTACAACCACAATTGAGCCCAAAATTTATGTTGCTGAGAAGTTTGTTAAGTGAGTTTTGCCCCATTTTATGACTTTTCTTGCCAGTTGTTAAGTGAATTGCTGCAGTTGTTAAATTAATAACATGGTTGTAAAGTGAATCTGGTTTTCATATTGACTGTCTGAAGATCGCAAAAAGGGATTACTATCAAACTACTTGCAAGAAGGTGGAACTTTTTCTTATATTGAACAATAAACCCTTTGTAAAGAATCGCTTTAAAAGATTTAAAATAATTTCTATACTCGTGCTACTTTCACAGTATAGTTTACAAATCATTATCTTTTTAAACTTTTAATTAAAGTAACAAAACTGAACTCTTTGAAAAATGAAGTAAGTATTTTTGCTATATCATATGTATCTGGTATTCAAGAGCCTTGGAATCATATATCCATCATTTATGTTACCTTAAAAAAACTAGCACAAATGGATAAGAGGTAATTATTGTGAGTTGAGATAAATATCCAGGTTTTCCAACTTCCAAAGGTACTTTTAATATCCAAAATAAAATCTCAATAGCATTGTTCCTATAGAGCAGGGATCTTTCAAACTTGACAGCTTTAAGACTTGTGGACTTCAACTCCAGTCATGTTAGCTCAGGAATTCTGGGAGTAAACTATAGAGACTAAAAATAAATAACTTGGGTCTGAAATATATACTTTCCTCAATATAGTATTAGAAATTGTGTTAATTATTTCAGATTGCTTTATACTTCTTTTGTTAATGAATAAGGGAACAATTCTCACGCATCATTTATTCCACATTAAACAATATGTTATAAAGCAAAATAAAATAACTGTTGCATTAAGTATTTTCTTTCCAATACCAGAATCAGTTTAGCAAACGCAGACAAGCTTGATTCATCAAATTAGCCTGTTTTATTACAAATGTCAAGCTCTGTAAATGTGTTGCTGTTTAAAAATATTAAAAGTGACATATTACAAAATGACATATTCCAACACAAAAATAAAATCTGATCAAGTTGTGTTAGCAGATGCATAGATTTGGTTAAATTACAACAAAAGTGTCTTATTATTTCTATAAATCTTTATAGAAAACTAAATAATTCACAGGACTAAACACAGTAAGGGAAAGAGTTTGCTTACAAGGATCCATATCTGCTCTCATATTTAGAGACAATAGTCTTGCATTTTCCCACTTCCTTCCGTAGTTCTGCAACTTCGGTCCTCAAGGCTGTGTTCTCCTTCTCCAGAAAAGCAGCTCGGATTGTGATCTGATTCTCTTTTAGGCGCCGAGCATCCCGAGATCGCTTGGCTGCCACATTGTTTTTCTTTCGCCTTGTCCAATATTTTTCATCCTATGTGGAAACAATCAGGTTGACAGTTTAGTATTTAGCAGATATTTCATTGATTTGTAATTTATTATTTTGTTTTTCTTATGACCAAATATGACTGGACTTTTTGCAAATTACTACCCACAGTTGTTGTTATCCATGCTAGAGTAACCTTCAGATTAGGCTACCACAATGAAGTGCAGAAAGCTACATACAAGTGAAGATTACTCAGAAATATGGTCCAGAATATTATGATGTAACTGATATGGAAAAATGGGAATAGGAACTGACTAAAAATACTATGGTTGACCATAAGTAGTCAGGCAAAAATACCACACCAATTTTTAAATTAAAATGAAAGTTTTAATTTTCTGACTACCTTTCAACTAATGGCAACTTTTGTTCATCTACATGAGAAGACACTAATTCTAGTATAGCATCACAATGCTCTCAAAGTCAATTTATAAATCAACTGAATTGAATTGATAAAAATCAGATTGTGCCTTTATTTGATTTTTATCCCACCTTTATTACTTTATAAGTAACTCAAGGCAGTGAACCTAACCAGTGTGCCTTCCTCCTTCTGTTTTTCTCACAACAACCCAGTGAGGTGGATTGGACTGAGGAAGAGTGACTGGCCCAAAGTCACCTATCTCATTCCTAAGATGGGAATAGAACTTGTACCTCCTGGTTTCCAAGCCAGCACTGTAACCACAATACCAAACTAGTTCTTGCCTTTTAATTCCATCAAGGACCTTTATGAAGGTGAATTTAATTTCTGATTAAATATCTAGCTACTGGTAAAGCTTAGATATACAAATTGAATATTGTCCTTAATTTGGGAAAGGAACAGTCACTTCCCTCAAAGAGGTTGGCTTTCATATTGATTCATTCAATAAACTGGTAAGCTTTGCTTAGAACAGAGAAGAAAGAAGAAAAGCAAAAGGAACAAGATGGATTCTATGAATTTCTAAGCAAGAAACCCACATGATTTTTCTTCATCTTGTCCACAAGTTTATTCACTAAAACCCAAAAACTTATTCAGAGGTAATACTCAGTGGAGAATCAGCTTGATGCAGTAATTAAAAGTACTGGGTTAGAAACCGGGAGACTGGTCCTGTCTTAGACATAAGTGCAACTAGGTGACTCTGGGTCACTCTGTCTCAGCCCAAGGAAAAAGACAACTGGAAACTTGCAAAAATTGTTGCAAAGGAAACTGCTAGAACTCATTCATGTAGGTGCTAAGAGTCAAAACAAACTTGGGTAGGTAAGTAAATAAATACATTAACTAGGTTGACTGCATTGATTTTAATTCATTTTTGTATCAAAAGATTTAGCTTAATTAATATAAGGAAGTTTTCATTATAATCTTCCCTATATACACTATACATCTTGTGCTTCAGGTTGTATACAAGATTGGTAAACCTTTTATAGTTGTGGAAATTACTATTCTTTTTTTATTTTTCCAGACCCATCCCCCCCCCTCTATTTTCTTGAAGCTGAACTGCAGCAGAAAATCCTGGATAGAAAAGCAAAGAATTCTTCAGAAGGATAGATCAAGGGACAACAGGAGGTTCAGCTTGACTAGTTGCAGTTTATAATAATTATCTTTTACTGGGGAAGCCTTAGAAAATGTTTTATATTATTCTCCTTCTGGATTTCAACAATCTGAAACAAATGAAACAAAGTATCCTTGAGTAAATCCTAGCAATGTTATTAAATTACACTCTGGGGACAAGAAGATGGTAAATTGCCATTCCTCAAGAAATTCACACTAAATCCACCAGAATTTTACAACAAAGAATCTGCTGATGAAAAAGACTCAATTGTGGGAAACTCCAGTGGCATACTTGAAAATGTACTTTGCAGCCAACAAACATGATTTCAAATACTTCTGAAATGCGATCACCCATCTACACAACAACAGAATAAACAGAATTACCTTTTGATTTTCTGGGACAAAGACTTTCTTGGCTTTTTTAATCATAGGCTGTGGTTTCAAGTCCTCTTCAGCAAACTTGTGCTTTCTAGGATTAAAGAGCTCTCCACCAGGCACACTGGACAGCACTAAATCAGCAGGGTCAGGGTTGAAATTCACATCAACCTCAACACAATCTGGATCAACAGGGCTAGGAGTCAATCTTTCCTCCTCACCTGGAGAAGACTCTGAAAAAAGGAAGACAAATTTAATAGTGAGCAGCATGAAGAAGATAACTACTATTAAACAGAAATATTAAAAGGGCCCCTTATTCAATGTATCATAAGTAGGAAAGAAGGAAACTGGTAAAATATTTTCCTCTCCTTCACTATTCAGTCTGAAACCCAGTGATAAAAGCCTTTAATATAGCAGCATATAAGGCAACATATATTAATACTAATCAAACAAGACAGATTTGACAATCGTTCTTCATTCTACATTCTTCACTTATTTGAATTAAAACAATATATTGCCAGCAAAAAGTAGCATACATAGTGCTACCACTTGTTTACATAATATTAATAGAATCAATAATGGGAACCAGTGAAATATTAGTTGTTCTTCCTTGTAACTTGCTGTGAATTTATGTGTTGTTAGATTGTGTATTACTGACCTTCCCATTTCTAAATTCAGGTTTAATTTTGCATGACAAGCAAATTGCTCATTCTAACCATTTCATTATTTTTCTGATTTCTGCATTGCAATTAAACTAAGAACCCAGTTAGGCAATGTGGGCAACCTTTTTTTTGTACAGCATCCTTTATAACCCCTTAACATACCTGAATTTTTGGTAGTTTCTGATAGATTGAAAACCACTGTGGAAGATGATGCAGATGGAGTGGTAGCAACAGTGGCAGATTCTTTTCCTTCCAGTTCAGCCACAGGCAGGAGGGGATTCTGATTCAGATCTAGATGAGCAGGACTGGAAGGGATTCCATTTTCCAACAGAAATTCATCAAGATCCATATACTCCAGATGAAAAGACTCCCCATCATAAGGAATAGTTTTATCCCAAATGGGAGGCATGAGGGAGGCAGAGACTGCCATTGTACTTGCAGCTGCTGCTTCATCTTCTTCAAGTTTTTCCTTCTTCTCTTTATCTAGAAGAAAATAGAATGATATTAGTCTAATGCAGAACTATATTTAACCATTTCTTTTTATATGATGATCCAAGAACTGGAACCATTTGCTGTATCAATCTTACAGATGAGAGCACCTTGCTGACCATGGCCAATTCCCCCAAAAGATAGTAGACTCTGTACTGGTGCCAAAACAACTTACATGGAGATTAGCCAATTTGAACTTGCTGAAGGAATCTGATCAGTCACCTTTGAGTATATGAACCAACAGAAAATAAAGTTGAAAAAATTTTCTATATTAAATAGCTCATTTAATATATATCCCTTTCACATGCAAATAATATAATAATGTATGAAATATGTGATAAAATGTTCATTTCTAAGTACTAATTTTAAGATGTAAAAATACAAAGATGCATAAAAGTTGCAAATCAGTACCAAAGGTCAGTTATCCCTCTGTGTTCAACTAATTGTATTCTTAGTTAAGTAGATATAGGATTGGCTCAATAAAAAAAGGCATATCTTAATTTAACAGAATATTTTTTCTGCATTATTAGCCCCAGAATTTAGTTCTTAATACGCTATAATAGCAAGAGCACTTAGACTTATATACCACTTTATAGTGCTTTATAGCCTGTCTAAGAGGTTTACAGAGTCAGCATAATACCCCCAACAATTTGGGTCCTCATTTTACCCACCACGAAAGGATGGGAGGCTGAGCCAACCTTGAGACTGGTGAAGCTTGGGAAAATGTAAAATAAACTATAAATGTTAAGATATTAATTCAAAAGAATATGAATTTCAAAAATGTAATCTTATTTCAAACACATATATCAAAACAGAAATGAGCAATAAGATAAAACATTATATTTTCAATATCAAATCCACAATGCTGCTGTTTTTTTAGAAGAGGGTATCAGAGCTACTTTCATATAAATGAATATTTAAAACAAAGATTTGGTTATTGATGAACAAAATGTTGACAATTAAATCACCCACTAACGTTTGCTGCTGAGTTTAGCTATTACTTACTACTTTCTTCTCTTGGTTAAAAAAAAAGACTAATTCAAAGCATTTAAAAAGAAAATACATGTTAGCATGCAAAAGTCAGCAAAGCACTCCCCTGACAGATAAGGGAAAGAGATATATGACACTACACATCCAGAATCAAAGAGAAAGAAATCCCCTTCCACACGTACGTGTGTGTGTGTGTGTGTGTGTGTGTGTGTTTTCGCGCCTATACTTTGCTGTGGGTAAAGTGCAACAGTCGATCCGGCGCCTGAAATCCAACTGCTTCCCCAAAGGAAGATGCTCTATGTGCCGATCGTCCTATTCGCTGTTATCACAAGGAAGCCCCGCTCCGTTAAGAGGAGATTACTTCCAAGAAAACAATTCACGGACTCGCCGCCTTACGCGCTGAGAGCTTCAAAAACAGCTCCGGGTAAACGGCAATAAGCGCCGGGGGCTGCGGGTACCGGGCGATGAAGGGCTCCGCGGCAACAACCAGGAGCAACCCCAGCGCCCGCCAGGCCACACGGCAAAATGGATGCGACGTGCCCGTCCGAACTGAGGCACTAGCCGCCGCCGCAATTCCCTCCCCACCGCCTCCCTCCCGTCCATCGCGCATTTCCTTCTGCGGAGGCAGAGTCCAACCCGAGACGCTCCCGCCACCCTCACCCAGGGGTGCGTCCCGCGGAGGATTTTCCATCAGTCTCTTCAGCACCAAAGGAAAAGCGCCCGTCGGGCCCCGTTCTTGCTGCACGGCTCCCGCGGTCCCCGCCGCCGCCGCCGCCGCCGCTGCTGCTACCTCCTGAGGCGCGGCACGGCTGGACATGCTATTGATGCGTAGGGGGCCGACCAGCGGACCTCGAGCCCCCCTCCAGAGGCCCAGAGGGAAGAAGGAGGCGAGAAGCGACGCCAGCGGAACGGGCGCCGCGGAAAAGAAAAAAATAATTAAATCTACCGTTGCCCCCCCCTCGAAGCTAAGGAGAGCGCATGCGCCACTTCCCTCGGCGCGCCTCCGTCGGCCCTGGAGACATTTATTGTTCATGACCGCCTTTAAGTTGCTCGTGCGCTGATTGGCTGGGCCCGGCGACAGACGAAACTGGCTTGGTCCCGCAGCCACTCCGCGAGAAGCTTGAACGGAGGCCTGGCACGTGCCGCGGAGCGAGGAGCGTTCCGCGAGAATGTGGGCGCCGCCCCTTTCCCTCCGCTGGCGTCAGTAGCTCCACCGAGACTCCCATCGTTTAAAACGCGGCGAGCGCCTCCAGCGCTAAACCTCAAATGACCTCAGAGCCAACCATCGGAGAAACAGCGGCAAGGCGGAGCTGTTGATCTGCAAGGAACTCTGAGGCGGGGCGAAGTGGGAAAAGGAGCAGATAGACTTTCATACTTCAGCGGTTGTCAGGACGCTCCGTAGGCCTCCGCTTCAAAAGCAAAGCCAGGCGTGGAAAAGCCCGGGGTGAAGGAGAGAGGAAGGCGCTGGTTGAGCAGGCTATTCCAACCTGTGACCCGCCAGTTGGGTTCTAATATATTTCTTCATCTGGGGTGGTCAAAAGCCGTGATTGGCTGGCAATTAAAATTAATTAAAATTAAGAGTTGTTAACCTAATCCTACGTAGCTTTTTCTGGTAATATCACACTACTAACTAGAGCATACAAAACATTTGCTAGACCAATACTTGAATACAGCTCATCAGTCTGGAACCGACATTACGTATCTGATACTAACACAGTAGAGAAAGTCCAGAAATATTTCACAAGAAGAGTTCTCCACTGCTCTACTTGTTGCAGAATACCTTATGCCACCAGGCTTGAAATTCTAGACCTAGAAAACCTACAACTACGCCGCCTTTGGTCTGATCTAAATGTATAGTACACTGCTCAAAAAAATAAAGGGAAGACTTAAACAACACTATGTAACTCGATTTTAACTTTGATTTCACTTCTGTGAAATCAAACTGTCCACTTAGGTAGCAACACTGATTGACAATAAATTTCACATGCTGTTGTGCAAATGGAATAGACAACAGGTGGAAAGCAGGGGCAGTTAGCAAGACATCCCCAATAAAGGAGTGGTTCTGCAGGTGGTGACCACAGACCACTTCTCAGTTCCTATGCTTTCTGGCTGATCATTTGGTCACTTTTGAATGCTGGCGGTGCTGTCACTCTAGTGGTAACATGAGACGGAGTCTACAACCCACACAAGTGGCTCAGGTAGTGCAGCTCATCCAGGATGGCACATCAATGCGAGCTATGGCAAGGTTTCCTGTGTCTGTCAACGTAGTGTCCAGAGCATGGAGGTGCTACCAGGAGACAGGCCAGTACATCAGGAGATGTGGAGGAGGCCGTACAAAGGCAACAACCCAGCATCAGAACCGCTACCTGCACCTTTGTGCAAGGAGGGACAGGAGGAGCACTGCCAGAGCCCTGCAACATGACCTCCAGCGGGCCACAAATGTGCATGTGGCTGCTCAAATGGTCAGAAACAGACTCCATGAGGGTGGTATGAGGGCCCGATGTCCACAGGTGGGGGTTGTGCTTACAGCCCAACACCATGCAGGATGTTTGGCATTTTCTGGAGAACACCAAGATTGGCAAATTTGCCACTGGTGCCCTGTGCTCTTCACAGATGAAAGCAGGTTCACACTGAACACATGTGACAGACGTGACAGGGTCTGGAGACGCCGTAGAGAATGTTCTGCTGCCTGCAACATTCTCCAGCATGACCGGTTTGGCAGTGGATCAATAATGGTGTGGCATGGCATTTCTTTAGGGGGCCGCACAGCCCTCCATGTGCTTGCCAGAGGTAGCCTGACTGCCATTAGGTACTGAGATGAGATCCTCAGACCCCCTGTGAGACCATATGCTGGTGCGGTTGGCCCTGGGTTCCTCCTAATGCATGACAATGCTAGACCTCATGTGGCTAGAGTATGTCAGCAGTTCCTGCAAGATGAAGGCATTGATGCTATGGACTGGCCCGCCCATTTCCCAGACCTGAATCCAATTGAGCACATCTGGGACACCATGTCTCGCTCCATCCACCAACGCCACGTTGCACTACAGACTGTCTAGGAGTTAAGGGATGCTTTAGTCCAGGTGTGGGAGGAGATTCCTCAGGAGACCATCCGCCACCTCATCAGGAGCATGCCTAGGCGTTGTAGGGAGGTCATATAGGCACGTGGAGGCCACACACACTACTGAGCCTCATTTTGACTTGTTTTAAGGACATTACATCAAAGTTGGATAAGCCTGTAGTGTTTTTTTCTACATTAATTTTGAGTGTAACTCCAAATCCAGACCTCCATGGGTTGCTAAATTTGACTTCCATTGATAATTTTTGTGTGATTTTGTTGTCAGCACATTCAACTATGTAATGAACAAAGTATTTAATAAGACTATTTCATTCATTCAGATCTAGGATGTTTTATTTTTGTGTTCCCTTTATTTTTTTGAGCAATGCATATAAAATCACACATTGCAATGTCCTACCTGTCAATGAATACTTCAGCTTCAACCATAACAATACAAGAGCACACAATAGATACAAACTCAAGGTAAACCGCACCAAATTTGATTGCAGGAAATACGACTTCAGCAACAGAGTGGTCAATGTCTGGAATACTCTACCTAATTCTGTGATTTCTTCCCCAAACCCCAAAAACTTTAACCTTAGACTGTCTACTATTGACCTCACCCCTTTCCTAAGAGGTCTGTAGGGGGCGTGCCTAAGCGCACCAACGTGCCTACCATCCCTGTCCTATTGTTTCTTTTTATTTTTCTTATATGTATCCATTTCATGTATTCATAACTGTTTATACTTATACCTGTTATCTTATAATCACTTGACAAAATAAAATAATTTTTTTAAAAATGAAGTTGATCTGTGAATATTACAGTAGATAGAATCCTTCTGCTTATATTCCTTCCAGCTTAGGCTAACAAGAAAAACCCCAGGGTGGTTTGTGTTGTGTGTGATCAACAAATTGTATTCAGCCATGTTTTTTTCTTGTTAATGACACACACACACACACACACACACACACACACACACGTTTTAGCAGAATTGTCTTCCTAAACTTGTACACGGTGCCATTTTTTCCTTTCCAATCCTTTTGAAGCTTGTTTATCTATATTGGTCTCAGCAGATGGCAGTGTGCGACCAGCCTTGTCAAAATTCAGAGGCTGAGCAGGGTCAGTCAGGTTCACATTTGGATGGGCTTCTGGGGACCCCAGGGCTCTAGAACATTACAGAAGAAAGCAATTGCAATCCTCTTCTGTATTGCTGTTAAAATCCTTCTCCATCCTTAATAGATGTGTCAATAAAGACAACACCAACTGAATTTGGCATACAGGAGACCATGCCGTATGTTTTCCCTTTCTATGTCAGAGCCAACCTTATTATTAGGCAGGATGAGGTGGCTAGGTCAGGCAAGTGGTCTGCCCATAGGCCCAGTGAAGATGCTATGCCTTTGAACACATCAAAAGAATGCTCTGTTGGCCATCCAACTGACTTAGTAAATGGGCTAGGAGGGAAAACACGGTCTTATCCTTCAAACAGCAAAATATCTTGAGCAACTGTACACTCTTGGGATGGAACCTTCAAAAAATAGTGAAAATAATGAAATACAAAAGAAAAGGGCCTGCATATGCACTCACACCAGTTACCCTTTCACTGATTGTTCTTGTCTTTCTTATTGCCCATTTTGAATATAATTTCCTTGGGAACAAAAAGCGGTCAATTTCCCTAGATTGATAAATGTTGCAGAAACAGTAATTCATTGACATGTGATTGTTTAAAATGCTCTTTTAAATAAATATTAAACATTACAGGTCACAGCAAGTAACTGAGCTATAGGATCAAATCTGGCTAGTCCTTGAAAAGCAAGTCACCAGGAAATTATCATATGATAAACTGGAACTTGAAAAAAACATTCCAAAAGAAGATAATTACATACTCTTTCTATATTATTGCCAAGAAAAATATGTGTGGTCACTAGGAATTAAATTCAGTTTAAGGGAAATTTTAAAATTAAATATTACAAGTGAGCAGAACATTCCATTATTTTAGCACATGGGTTATTTTGATTGGCATTAGTATTCATATTCTCTTACCCTACTATAATAATTCAACAAGTATTAATAAAGCTTTTAAAGAAACTGAGAGGCAGACTAGTTTTCTAGAATACTAGTCAAGTCAGCACAAAACAATCTATACTAATTCATTTTGATTTTAATTCCTTTTGATGTAAGCTTCAGGCTTGCCTTGACTGCACTGATTGGAATCTTTTCTAAGATACATCTGCAGACTTGGATGAACTCACAGATACTGTAATATCATATGTCAGTTTTTGTGAAGACCTATGTGTGCCAACCAGAAACCTGCAAATATATACTAACAAGAAGCCTTGGTTTACAGCTAAACTTAAGCAGCTATGTGGTGCCAAAGAAGAAGCCTAGAGAATGCTTCCTATAGCAGGGATCTCCAACCCTGGCAACTTTAAGACTTGTGGGAATTCTGGGAGTTGAAGTCCACAAGTCTTAAAGTTGCCCTCTCCTATAGGCTATATAGGCTATATTCTAAAGGAAGGTGATAGAATGCTGTACAATCAGGCTAGAAACCAGAAGTGGTATTCAGCAGGTTCTGACCAGTTCTGGAGAACTGGTAGTGGAAATTTTGAATAGTTCGGAGAACTGGCAAATACCACCTCTGACTGAAGATTTTACAGTATCCTTCCGCTGCCACACCCACCAAGCCACACCCATAGAACCGGTAGTAAAAAAATTTGAATCTCACCACTGCTAGAAACGTATTAACAAGGGAGATCAGAGCAGCAAAAAGAAGCTACTCTGAAAAGCTAAGGAATCAATTTCTCAAAAAATGAAACAGCAAACGTGGAAAACTCTTAAAAATATCACTGGTTACAGCAAACGTCCTTCCCATGCTAAAGGAAAT